AGGGTCACGAGGCCCAATCAGATGCCAAGAATTGCGCAGACACATTAACTTGCCAGTAAACCATACACTACGTACTTGTACTACGTTCCTGGTATTGCATAAGTAACATCGATATTATATCGATATATCGATATGGCATTAGTAGATTTAAATAAAAAAGGCATGAGGCTTTTTAATATCGATACTTAACTGACTAATCATATGACTTATTTCAGCTGAAATAGTTTAATCTGGTAAAAAGAATGTAACTTTAGGTTTTATTTAATAATACTCAGTTTGATGATTGAATCAGATATGTCGGGTACAAGTAAACAACTGGTCATACTATACTAAAATAATAATACTGTATAATTTTTTACTTCTCAACACTATACAGAAAATCATCACATAAGGCAGAGCCATCGCTGAATATAACTACAATTTCTCTGTCTATTTCTTTGAGCTCAATACTAATTCTGGTCAAAATTACATAGCCATTCTATCAAAATTATACTTTAATTCAGTCAATTATTTTAAACAAATTTAATATTATAATTCTAAGCAAAACATAGTTTCGGCTAAGATTATATACATGCAAATATAAATGTTATTTACATTACCATGAACGAATTAATTCATTTCGAGTAAATGTAAATGCTTTTGTAAGTCTGATTACATTTCCATGAACGAATTAATTCATTGAGGGTGTATCAGATACTAAATCAATTAAATTTCATGAATGAATTAATTCGTTTACGAGTAAATGTTCAAATTTACAAATTTCAAAAAAAAACAAAAACAAAAAGCTTTAAGTTTTTGACTGATGTTAGTAAGAAGTGTTAACTTCGTCAAAATATTCGCATATACCTTAAATATTGATGTTATGTGTAAACGTATTAGAATGTTTTTTTGACGTGAAAATTTATTTTTATAAAATGGATGACTATGCAAGTAAGCAAACAACCGATTTTCTTACTTAAAATGGACTGAAGTCAGCAATTAAGCTTGAGGTATCACTTTGATAATTTATTGAATTTAGAAATAGCACTTACAATGAATAAAATCCCTTAACAGCCACCGCTCTTGCAGAACAGTACTCGTTCTGCTTCACGACGCTTTACCAAACCTTGTAACACATTGCCACTATTATCATGAGCCCACTTGCCAAACTCAGCAGATGCACCTTTTGTATCGCCAGCATTAAGCTTTATGAGCAAATCAGATTTATCAAAGTTACCGTAACCTATATTAAAAGTGAGCGAAACTAATGCGGAAAACTGGTTTGAATTAAGGTTAATTTTAACGAGATTATTAACGGCATTTTCAGGTGTGATTAAATCTTCATTAAGTAATTTCTCTCCCTCAGCAACGGTTATTGGAGGATGTATCTGATTGCATTTTTGAGGATCATAATAGCAATTATGGCCATAGCCAATAGTTTTAATATTCTAATGTCAAAAGATACTACTTTAATCGGGAATTGATCGTTTCTACGTAGCGTAAATTGAGAGAAAATAAGCTTACCGATGGATCAAGATAAAAGGTAGGAGAGAAGCTTTCAAATTGTTTAATAAGATTTAAACCATCATTATTGATGATTTTTGTACTAGGAGGTTGAAGAGCTATTGTAGTGGGAGTAGGTGGTGGAGATATGGTACTGGGTTTTATCCAACTACCAGAAGGACAACTTGTGCATACACTGTCCTTGCAGCAATAGCTATATCCGTCTCCAGTTGCACAACAACCATATGCGCAAGGACCAAATCGACAAATTCTGGTGCCGCCAGGATTACATTGAAAAATAGAAGAAGTATCAGAAGGGCAGCCTATGTGTTTCAAAATAAAGATTAGAATTACGTTAATGAGTAAGATAAAAATAATTTATTACCATTGTTTAATTCATGTCCACATTTGAGACCACCGATAGCATCACTTTTAAGGCATATGCATCCGCTGGTATTGTTGTAATCGCATTGAGCAAAAACGATAGGAATGATAAATAAAAAAAGCTTCAAGCCAAATGAATGATTGTTAATACTCTTCATTATATACTGTATTATATGATAATTAAATTTGCAAAAAAATTCACTTATAAATAGATTTAACTTTCTGACAGAATTAAATCGTTAAAGTTACCGTTGCCCAACATTTAATGTTTCCGAAAACTAACTTCATTCAAATAAGCTCCTAATTTGAGATTTCGGAATTTCAAATCTTTGAAAAAGTCCACAAATCCAAAACAATAAACATTCATTTAGCCTAATTTGGAGTTAAAAGTTGTAATAAAAATGAAAATTCTATTCTATGTAACCCTGCTTGTAACTAATAGTACAAATAACTACATATATTTCAAATTAGATCTAATAGCTAGAAATTGTACGTAGAATCGAATTTTCATTTTCGGTACAACTTATATCTCCAAATTAGGCTAAATGAATGTTTATTGTTTTGACATTTTTAAGGACAATTTTAATTTGTGTCAGTGGTTATAGATACCACTATGTTTTATCTCGAAAACTGCACTATGAGACAGGGTTGATATACTACAGTACTAAGTAAAGATTTCAGGTCCCTGAAAACCTCACGAGATCTAAGATCGGGATCTGGGTTACTGTGTAACGTTGGGTATTCGGGCCAAATTTCTTAAATTGAAATATCGATGTTCACTCAATTTTAATAATTAAGATAATCATAGATTTTTGAAAACTTTGAACGAGAATTGTAGTAAGTTGTTATATAATATTATATAATAAAACTTGCGTTAAAGGTAAAGTATTTACTATCAAAGTTTGATCAAAAATCATTGAATAGCAATTCATATACAGTCACACCTCGATATAGTCGCTCTCGATATAGTCACAAACTCGATATAATCACATTTTTTTACTTACCAATTAAATTTAGGAAAAAACTTAATTAGGCGTCGCAACCTGCGATGTGCTTTTACATTGCACATTAATGATCGACCAATCAAATTTCAATATCACGTGTAACATAGCACGATTAGGAAGATTCAAAACAAACGTTCGTTTTGACAAAAGTCACTTATAACTCAAAATTTCATATATGAACCTATCTTTTGCACTCTAACAAAAAAAATTCCTTGAAAAATTTTACTATAAGACCTTTTTCATTCATTGCATCTAATTCTATCTAACCCTAACCCTAACCCTAACCAAACAAAAAAAACTAGTTTATTTTAGTTGTTAAATTATAATTTGTAAATATATGTGATGTATAAGCATATTGCAGTATGTGACGTATACATTTATTCTTTTATATATTGTATATTTTATATAGATTTTTATTTTTAATATTTAATTTAACAATTATTATAAAATGCACCTATGGTATTTAGCACCATATATAATTGTTTTAATAAAATTTAGGGTTAGGGTGCATTTTTATGAATTTTTTTTTTATATATTATAATATATATTAGATATAAGGTCCTAATTTTAGTTTTTATGAGGTTTTGGGGTGCTGAACATTTTTACTTAGAATACCTAATTCCATTTACTTAGTACGTTTTTGAGAAATAGAGATCTATGGTGTTGAACACCATAGGTACATTTTAGTAAACTTGTAATTTAATTGTTATTTTCATCATGAATATTCTATTTTTAATTAACCAATCAAATTTAAAAAAATGATTTTTTAAAAATTAAAGAAGTTTTATTAAGTTAGGGTTTGTTGGGCTTCTAAGTAAAGTTGTAGAAGAAATTTTTCTGGTTCTAATGGTGGTTAGATCATCAAAATCGGCTTGGTGAATCCCAAGATATTTAGGGTTAAAGGTGTGAGCATAAGGATCTGCAAATTGCCAGTTACACAAAGTATTATAATCTATAATACTTTGTGTAACCGGCAATTTGCAGATCCTTATGCTCATACCTTTAACCATATAGGATAACTTTCTCGTGATTGGTCAATCACATGAAATTAAATAGCACGTTATTATTGGCTACTTGTACAACAGGTGACAATCAACCAATCAAACCACATATCGCTTCTCATTTTTTGACAAAGAGCAAAAAAAAAAAATAGGTATGTATATATATATAAATGCCTATTATGTCTATTATGCCTTTTATACTAAACTATTATACATATTATTTAAGGATTTGTAGTTTATTATACTTAGAGCTCGTTATGATAAGACTCGTTAAACCTTGTAGTAATCTCTATACATATACGTATATAAAGTTTTGAACACTTTTATTATTAACTTTATTCTTATAAATTAATGTTTTCTATGTTTTAAAACTCTTTAGCATAGCTTAAAATCGCTTTATCTATTTTTAAAAGAAACAAATGTACTTTTAGTTTTCTTTAAATAACCCAACTACAGTATATTTAATGATTTAGTAATTACATATAGTTCTATAGTATATGTAGAAATTTCATCTTCTAAGTAAGGTACCTCTAGGTGTGAGATTATTTAGGATTATTTTGCATAGTAATTGTTGGTGCTTCTTTAAAGATAGAGACGGGGTTAATTTTTATTTTTGCTTGTAAAATGTTACATTCTTAAAAAGTACTTTAAACTGTATAAATACAATTGAAAGTGATTGACCAATCAGAAGAAAGTTATTCTATATCCTTTAACCCTAAATATCTTGGGATCCACCAAGCTGATTTTGATAATCTAACAACTATTAGAACTAGAAAAACCTCCTCTACAACTTTACTTAGAAGTCTAACAAACTCTAACTTAATAAAAACTTCTTTAATTTTTAAAAAATCATTTTTTTAATATTAATTTTATATTATTGGTTAAAATTAATATAATATTAAAGCTAAAAATAGAAAATTTTGTATAACCATGGTAAAAATAACAAAAAACTATAGTGAAAATAACAATCTCTTTTATTTAATTTAATTTAATATTTTTATTAAACTTATAAATATATTATAATTAAATTTAAATTTAATAAAATATTTAAGTTTAAATTTTAAATTAACTTAGTTAAAATTTAAATTCAAAACAATATTTAAGTCTAAAACCAATATTAAAAATATAACTATAATTTAAATTTAAAACAATATTTAGACCTAATATTTAAATTAACTAGAATTTAAATTTAATGCAATGTCTAAGTTTAAGACTTATAGAACTAAGATTTAAATCAAAACAACACTTAAATCTAAGTTTAAATTAACTTAGATTTAAATCTAAAGTAACATTTAAGTTTAAAACTTAATTAAATTAATTAAAATTTAAAATTAAAACAATACAAGATTTAAAATTTAAATCAATTATAATTTAAACTGAAGCAATATTTGGATCTAAGACCTAGTCAAAAAAGCATATTAGATTATGTTTATTATGCTTATACAAGAATTTATATTTGAGGGTGTGGCGACCTAGTGAAGTGGTGGGGTTGCTGCACCCCCAAGCGGCAGGTCTAGAGTTCGAATCCCACGG